TCTTGTTCCTTAAGCTGAAACGGTGGTGTAAAGAATTTTTCCATGGCCCACAAGGTTTGTCACCATTGTGAAGAATTCATGTAAGATTCCAAAAAGCCTTCTCATATTCACCTTATATGTCTCTAAGTACAGCCTTGTTTATTTCTCATCTTCGGATGCTGCATATCAACTTGACTCATTTTTCTTTGATTTTTGTTATATGATTCTGTCTCTCATTATTATAATTTTCTCTCTGTACGATGTTTGACTTCTTCTATAGGCAGGACTCTGTTCTGTTCTTTTGGGTCTTTGACTTAGCCTCTTCTTGAAAGATCTTTGGTTAGTCACTTTTTAAAAATTTTCACACTATTTTTATAAAACGGGCTTCAAAATATCTTAGAAATTTGAGGAAAAGGATGAATATTTTTTCTTGCTTATGTCTAGATTGCATCAATTTCTCGATATTATAAAAATAATTTAGGAGAATCGCTTGAACCTGGGCATCAGAGGTCGCGGTGAGCCGAGATCTCGCCACTGTACCCCAGCCTGGGCAACAAGAGTGAAACTCCATCTCAAAAAATTAATTTTTTTTTCAGAAAAAATGTGTTTATCCTTATAAATCTGAAACAGTCTCCCAGGTTTTAAAAAATATATGTGTTATTTAAAAATATATGAAAGGAAGATTTTTCTCTCCTTCACAGCCCACAAACTCTATCCTTTCTTACCCTCATTCCCTACCAAGCCTATGGCTCATTTTCCTCCTTTTGTTAAGATGTTCCATGCTCTTAGCTTGCAGAGCTTCATAAGTACTCTTCAGTTATTCTTCTTATAAACTGATTCAAAATACTTGGCTTCAAAGATTATTTTTCACTACCTTCACTATCCCCTTTCTTAAGATGCATCTGAAATCCCCTGTCAACACCACTCATCTCAGATATTACAAAAGACCCTCATCCTTAGTTTTCCCTTTTCCATTTCTCTTGTGGAGTGTACCCTTTCACAAATCTGATCTTTTACCTTTCAGTTTATATCAATTCCATAATCACATATATTTCTTCACTCCCAGATGCCACAGACATTACAAACGACTTAACTTCATGTTAAACATCTCTGTGTATCTCGTTTTCCTGTTGACTTCTGTGAAGAGCCCTTGACAAATAATACATTTCCCTGTCTGATTCAGTTTGTTTATAGTATCTCAACTGAACAAAATGCTCCAATCCTAACACAGACTGCTGGATGTTTTGATTTTTGAAACACATATTACTTACTATAGATGAGTCCCAACACTATTTCATTAAGCTTTTCTAATAGATATCAATAACGTTGCTTAATTAATGGGTGTTTTTAGTATGCAAAGTCACTCAGAGGAAAGAGAATGAGGACTGAGACCACTGTACAGAATTGGACTTGGTGGGTGAAAGAGATAAGGATATTTCTTAAGCTCATTCTGCTGGCAATGTCAGAACTGCATTCAATCAGTCATCATTAGCCTTGAGAGTGGGAGTCTACAGTGGGCTTAGCAGGAAGCATACCAGGGTAAATACGGACTTTTTCAAAGACAAGTTAATTTCAGACCACCTAAAAACTCTGATATAATAATGGAGTCAAAGACACCACGTGGGTTACGAGGTCTGGAGCTCAAGACCAGCCTGGCCAATATGGTGAAATCCCATCTCTAATAAAAATTCAAAAATTAGCTGGGCGTGGTGGTGAGTGCCTATAATCCCAGCTACTAGGGAGGCTAAGGCAGGAGAATCATTTGAACCCCGGAGGCAGAGGTTTCAGTGAGTCGACATCACTCCATTGCACTCCTGCCTGGGCAACAGGGCGAGACTCCATCTCAAAAGGAAAAAAAAAAAAGAAAACGCACACACCAGAATCTACTATTTTTAACATTTCTCAAGTCAAGGAGAAACTAGTGTCCTTGTAGATTGGATTCATTTCCCATGAAATGTGGGGTTTAGGCCCAGCTCCATCATATCTGCATATGTTGGCACATATATTTTTAAAAATATGACCACACTCTTACCCTTTTAAATTGCAAAAAATGTCGCCTCTGACTACCTGCCATTAATAGTAAGTAACTCTCATTACAGAAGCACATCTTTTAAACCCCAACACTGCCTCTGTACGTTCTATAATATGAAAGTTAAATAACCCAAATAATAGCCCTGCAATTACTATTGAAAAAAAAATCCAGCGATGCTAAAATGAAACTGGATATTTTTCACTTGTTGTTGTTATAGAATATATGCGTAGAATACAAAAATCATAATTTGCACTCATCCAACTTCTTTTACTTTAGTGTCTCAAGTCCCAGAGTGTAAGTGGTCTCATTAAGTTTACCAAACCAATTTAACTCTAACATGCTCTTGAACCATCTCTCCAAATCCACTGAGGCTTTTCTGCCCTGAATACTGAACAGTATCATCTGAAATTCTGAGCATTCTGTAGATATGTTTGACCTTCTGCAGATAAAACTCACTCAATCGTTAAGTTATATGTTAAAATAGACAAAATTACCTAAATAAAAAAGAAAAATATGACTATTGCATATTTAGCCAAATCTACACACATCCATAAACTCTCACATATACAAAATAACTGAATTTATGTATAACTGGATGTATTAGAATGAGAAAAGCTTTGGCTGTAAGAACAACTAGAAAAACAAGAAGAAATACTTTATCTGAATCTATGGAAACAAAGTCCATTGGTTTCTAAGCTCCATTTATTTAGGCAACAAGTGGAAGTCTACGCAGATATTTATTTACTTATTTTATTATTTCTGTTCTGTACTTTATGTTAGAAAATGCTTCCTTTTTTTTTTTTTTTTTTATTATCTTTGCATTTAGACGTTTATATATTATTGAAAAAGCTTTTGTTAATTTATAGAACAAAGCAAATATGAGACTTTTTTGGAGCCAGGGTCGTCTCACTTTGTTGCGTAGGCTGGTCTGGTCTTGAACTCCTGGGATCAAATGATCCTCCCAATTTGGCCTCCCAAAGTACTGGGATTAATGGTGTGAGCCACTACGCCTGGCCAATTGTTCAGATATTTCTCGAGGACTCATTACATTATAGGAACTACGGAGGATACAAAGATAAGTTATTCATAGGAAGTATACAAATACTAAAACTGCCAGCACATGTAGAGTATGGTAAGTTCTATGAGGATGGGGGCAACGTAGATATCATTTAGTTCTGCATCCTCAGTGCATGATATTGTGAATAGCAAATAGTAGGTGCCAGTATGTGTTTCAAAAATATGTAATGAAAGGATAATGCCCTTGTTTAGTGTAGACATTCAAAGGAAGGAGGGACTACTCTGTCTGGTGTTAGCCAGAAAAGCTTTCTAGACGATGAAGTATTTGATCTGAGTCTAAGGGATGAAGGGATGGGTTCTAACAGAGAGAATTCACATACCAAGAAGAGGCCATCACACAAACACAAAGAGAGGCAGGAAAGTGCGAGACAGCCTTTAGGAAAAGCAAATTATTCAGTTTGGCAGTTCAGCATAGGAAATCAATAAGGAAGGCATAGTATACAGATAAGAATGAAAAATTAGATTTAAGTCAGACTGATGAAATCCAGAAATGCCAAGTTAGGGAGTCCAGATTTTATTCTTGAAGAAAGCTTGGACTATCTGTGTTCAGATGCTTATACAACAGCTTAGCCACTTGCCAAGGAGTCATCAGCCTTGATCCTGCTTCTGAACCTGTCAGAGGGAGTCATCAGAAGCACATCCTAATTACATTACCAGCTACTCTCCAAGAAGCTGCTCAAAGAGAAAACCTGCAAAGTGCAACCGTCGCAGAAGAGAAGACGAAAACTAAAGAAGCAGGAGAGACATTTAGAAATGATTAACGTTGGTCAGTTTCATCACTTCCAAGTCTGTTATCAGACACCTGTTATATTTACCATGGTACTTCGAACACAAGTTGTTTTAGTTCTAGTTGTTGGAGACTTAATGCACAAATCTCAAAAGGTAAAAAAATGTTCCAAAGGAGTATAAGCCTCTTCGGGGACCTCTAATGTGTTACATAATGTAGCCTCTGCCTAAGGAGAAACTAATTCTTTAAGCAAAATGGTAGAGAGTAGGCTTCCTGAATACACAAAATTGCCCCATTTATTCACTTAAAGCACAAATGACCAGGAGCTGTAGAGAAATAAAGTTATAATACATGCCTTGAGCAACTTACAATGAAGTTGAAAAAAAGTTTAGCATTCTTAAGTCCTAGAAAGTTTATAATATTTGACTTTAGCTTCTTTACTATTTCTTTACTATTTCCATTTTAAGAAAATTAAGATTAAAAGGTTTAAATAACTTGTCCAAGCAAGAAAAAAAGAAAAACAAAACCAGAATCCAAATTCGTTTGACTCCAGAGAGCATACTCTTTCTCACGTACCATATAGCCTTAGAGTCTGCCCTAGGATATGGAAAACACTATACTGTAGTAGACAAAAGCAGGATGTCTAGATAAAAGCAAGACCTAGGTTGTAGGTCTTGGCTCTACCTCTTGTTAGCTGTCTGACTTTGCACCTGTTACTAACTTTTTGTGCCTCCATTTTCTCAATTGTAAAATGGGGGGAAATAATATTTCTTAAGGTAGTGTTTCATAATATAATTCCTTACCTGATAGAGTTGTTGTGAGATTTAAGTGAGATAATACATACAAAATGCTTAGGAGAATAGCAGGCCTAAAGAAAATGCTCATTAAAATTAGCTATCATTTTTCAGTGACATTTCGTTATAATTGAAATAATTTAGACAATTCACTGCACATTTTCCTGATTTCAGTCAACACACAAAGTCTTCCTTTAATCAAAAAGAAATCCCTGGAAATATCTTATGCAGTCATTAATTTGTACACAATTGAATATATGAAATGTTAACATAGGCAAAAGTCACAAGCATTTGGTTGCTTTTTGGAAAGACAATTCTTGCTCTGGTAACTTTTCTGACACTGATACATTTGACTGATTAGCGTTTTTGCTATCTGTTTCTTTCCTGACAGTCAAAACCCCAGATAAGATGACACATTTCCGTAGTTTGCAAACTTACCCATGAATGTAGGAGATCCATATCTGAGCAGGAAGACTTGAGACGTGTGTGGCGAACACAAGAGGAGCAGTGGCCCCAGGGTCCAACCTCGGCTATTTGGAAATCAACATATGTCCAGAGAGGGTTTTCAGGAAAAGGCTTCCAGTGATGCCATATGTCAGCTTCACCTTCATACCAGGCTAATTTATCTTCCAAGTTGCAGTCATTTAAAGTGTTGGATGTACCCTGTGTTGCAGAAAGAGTCTCCGACCTAATCTCCATTTCTTCCTTCCTGCTTGCGCTAACATTACTCGTTTTCTTTTCTTGGGATTTGGTTAATTTCAAACAAGAAATCAACGTGTCATCTTCATCTTCTGAATGACAAATAAGTAGGTTAAAAACTATTATTATAATTCTTTACATATAGAAATTATACTTCCATTTAGGTAAGAAATATAAGTGAACCACACTGGATAAACCAGGATGTCATTCAATTTTCCAAAATTATTCCAGCAGCATTTCTTTAAAGAGTAAGTTATTTTGCATTATAAAAAATTTTGTTTTGTAAAAATCTGATTTTTCTGACATTTTTGAAACCATATCTACTGATTAAAGTCTCACTGGAATGAATAGAAGCCACATACAAATAGCATGCTGAAAGATATTTGAGGAAAAAAATACAATTAATAAAAACACCTCTTAAGATGTTATGTTCCTATTCTTAAATATTTTTAATTTTTAAGGTCATATGTATAATAAAGAATTACAAGGAACACATGGACACAGGGAGGGGAACATCACACACCGGGACCTGTCAGGGGTTCGGGGTATAGGAGGGACAGCATTAGGAGAAATACCTAATGTAGATGACAGGGTGATGGGTGCAGCCAACCACCATGGCACATATATACCTATGTAACAAACCTGCACGTTCTGCACATGTACCCCAGAACTTAAAGTATAATGATAATAAAAGAAGAATTATAAGGAAACAAATAAAATTATTTGCCTTACTTAAATGAATAAAATTTTAGTGGGTATGGAATGAAATCCTACTGACATTCTGAAATTGTCTATTTTAATATCAACCTGCCAAGAAATTTATGTATGCAGTGTGTCTCATGGTGAAATCGTTTTTAAAAAGCAAGAACGACAAAACAAAAAAGGCATATCAGTAATGCTATAAAGTCCATTTGTGAAACCTATATGTACACAATGTGGCAAAGAATCTGATGAAATTTCTAGTAATATAAAAAACAGTTACAGAAATAGAAATATATATCACCCAGAGTCAATTGCTCTATGTCATGGAATCCCTTTAAATCCAAATGTTTAATGGATATTTTTAAAAGATTTTGATTAATCGAAACATGCTATTATGAATAAATAAATGCAAATCAAAGTTGCATGCCATGGACATACCAGTTTGCTAGGTTTACATCAAAATTCAATTATATTGTTTTCTGTGGCTAAGGAATGGGAACAGTAGACACTGCTGAGCTTCCTCCATTGCCTTCTCTCACTCTGTCTCTGAGCCCTGTCTCAAAGGGAAGGAGAAATGGGGTGTGACATAAATGTGGGGTAAAATTCAGGACTAGATGGGGATGTCTGTTTCAAAATAACTTGGCAATAAAGAAATACTCGATGTTTAATGATTATCTTAAGACCCTATCAAAATGGGCTCCATTAATATATGCTTCTTTAGTTCTCCCTCAAAGGAATTTTAACAGCTTATTGAGCTTTTACTTACGGAGGTTTATTAATGTCGGTTTCACCTCATCCAGACTCTGCACTCTGGCTTTCTTGGTCCAAACCAGTCTCTGCAGTCGCTTTAGTGTCCCCATTGATTCCACTCGGTCACCGCCCGATTTTATGGCCTAGCACAAACACAGCTCAAGGTAAAGACAAATTATTCTTCACAAAAGATGAAATATAAAATATGTTGAGATCATAAATGTGGAAAAGTTAATAATGTGACCTTAAAACCTGAAGCCTGAGTCAATTTAAGCAATAACTTGAAAGCACACCACACTTTTTTGGGTTCAAAATTGTAAAATATGTTACAACTGGCCAGTCATACTAAAGCAGAGTGGTTTTACCAATTTTTATTTTTTTTTACCTCAAAATACAGCAAAATGGATTGAACTCAGAAATATCTATAAATGACTCACTCCTGCCCACTGTGAAATAGTGGAAAGATCTTTGCAGTGTAATATAGATGGAACAAGAGGTTCAACATTGCTATTTGCTAGTATTGGAACAGACTGATAGTATGCAAAGTCTAACTGCTAATATTAGATAAAGCAGAATTTAAGTTGTCTGCATTTTCTTTTTGGAAATTTGTGGGCAAACAGCATTTGTTTCAAGTATGAAAAATTTTCAAATAATACACTTTAAAAAAATAGCCTCTTGCTTTCTAAAAGATATGCACAAAGTGACACAAATAATAGCCACAGTATGCCACATTATGTTTTAATATATAAGAATCCCTTGTTTATTATGACAAAATATGGATAAATTATAATTAACATTTCATTAATGACTCCTGTTTTCTTTAAAAGATTCAGGAATGTTTTCCACTAGTTCAGTGTTGATGAATTAGTATTTCTACAGCCTTTACTTATTATCTTAAGGACAGTTCCTCTTAAGGATTTCAAAATACTTTCGAAATTAACATTTTATGTGCCAAGTTTTATATGAACTGATAAAATCATTGTGTTCTGTTGAATTCACAGGTGTGATGTAATACATATAGGAATACCTCTTCATCTAGAAAATTCTGGACTCAGAAATATTTCTCCACCTGCTTTTGTCTCATTCTTTCCATTGAACAGCTGACAAACAACATCTACAAAGACACTGCAATTTTCAAAAGGTGAATATGTGCTTCCTCATTAAGGTTTGAATGAGACATACTTATAAATAATGCTTTCCAAACCTTTGAAAGAGAGTATAAGCCCAAATAAATGTTTGGGAGTGAAGAATATCTGACATGTAACATTTCTAATCTTTATACTCAGCTGTTATTTTTAGTCTTTAAGAATGACTTTGAACAACCAGTATAAACTTGATGTTCTGTCTCTGCAAAATAGCACTTATGTAGGAAATGTGACATTTTTGTCAGAGCAAGCTATACCTTTTCGCATTAAATAAATGAGAAAATATTGAAATCATTTTAATCTTTCAGAAAGGACTGTGATGAGATATTCTTAGATATGCAAAATTATCCCTCTCTTTCCAAAGGCCATGCTCTGTTCAACAGAATTTCTATTGCTGTTTATATTTTGTATTATTTCTCAGTGTTTCTTTTAGCGCTGAGTTACTTGGTTTTATAGACTCTTTACAACTGTGGAAGAGCCAGTTTCTACTCTTTAGACCCTTCCGGAAATCATAAGATGACATGGCACAACGATTTTTTTTCTTTGCTGTGCTTCTTTTCTTATGGCAACTTCATCTTGTTACAGCCAAAGCTTAATTGCTCCACTGAAACACTGGCAACAAAAATTGCCTTCTCTTCTCCCTTTGTGAAAAAAGACTTTCACTTAATGTGGGAAAGGTATTATACACCAGGGAAACTGAACTTTCTATAAATGATTTCCCCCAAGAGGAAGTAAAGCATTTGGAAGGTATCTGAATTCAGATAAGTAAGATCTCATGGCCTGGAGGTTTTAAAACAAACTGACCTTTCATTATTTTTTTCATACTCTATTATAGCCTTTTTAAAGCACAATATTGTTAATTTTTGTATCTTTATTCACTTTGAGTTACTAGACATCAGTCTACTACATTTTATTTATTTTTTAAAATCCTATGTGCCTAGGATTGTGCATGGCTTAATAAATATGTACTGAATGTAAATACAATCCTAACTTTATACATATACATATATTTTATATACCAAATGGAGTATTCATAGTACATTTTTAATACTAGACATGTTACTTTCTAATAGCAAAGTACTTCTGGACAATCTCCTCTTTTTAATAGGTACTATATATCCAAGGGATGAAATTTAGCATTATTATTATTATAAAAGAAATAGAATCATTAAAACTACATATTAAAAAGAAATCCTCTAAAATATTTTCCAAATAATAACCCTATTTATCTCAATTCTCTTATCTGTTACCTACATATTTGTACTGAATGTGATTAAGCTTTATAGTAACATGGCTTTTAAATTCTAAATGTGTTCTAAGAAGATTGACCCATAAATTAAACCTAGCATTCAGCAAGTCAATAAACTTTTATTGAGCAGCTACTCTATGCCATGCACTGCTTCATATTCTGGGGATATGGCATTTAGGAAGTAATAGGAGACCACTGTTTTTATCAAGTCTAATTCTAGAGGGAGGTGACAGATGATAAACGTATAAACAAGTATAAAACATAAGAAAGTGACATAAGAAATGTTATATTAATAATTAACAGGGTGATTGAGTGAGAATGCAAAAGGGGGGTTTATTCATTTACTGATCAGGAGGAGCTTCACTAAAGATACTATAACTGAGGCCTGAATGATGAGAAGGAATCAGATATGTAAAGATTTATAGATGGTTTAGAATTCAGCAGATGGCCAGAAAGAATATTTTGCCTGAGACTTAAGTAAGAGAAAATGTCAGCCAGGCAAATAGCAGAGAGTAGAGAAGTCCTGCAACACAATACAGTTTTCAGAGGTTCTAAAGCTGGAATTCCTGGCATAGGCTTAGTACGTGACCATGAAGAGAAAGAAAGGAAGAGTATCAAGAGGTGAGCCCAGAGAATAGCAGAGATCCTTCCAGGAAACTTCTGTAGAGCAGGTTGAAGAATATGGAATATCTAATTAGAGGATGATACAATTTGATTTACAGTTGTGTTCTTCTGTATCTACCGAATTTTGATTTTCCATTTCAATGGACTCTTCCCAACGGCATTCAAATGTGCTCTGTGTCATTCATAGTTACTTCACCATCTTTTATTCACTTTTTCTATTCTTTTTCCTAGACATTTGTCTCAAAATGTTAACTATTTATGCTTCCTGTAATTGAATTCTATTAACTTCTCATCCTTTCAATGTATCTCACCTATCAGCTTTCCTTTAAATTGTCCTTGTGGTCCATTCTAAAACTCCTTTACTACATGATATTCAGCAATTTTGACCACAGCAACCTTCTGGAAACACTCGCTTTTCTTGGCTTCTGTGACACCATGTTCCTCTGATTTTCCTTTTGCCTTTTTTGACTCTTCCCTCTATAACTCCTATATGCTGACACCTTCCTTTTCTTAACACTAAATTTGAAATTACTTAAGGATTAACCCCGAGCTTTCATCTGATATCACCATCATTCTCTTCTCATGTGCATTCATGCACACACGCCACTTTTAACATCACTTATATGCTAATGACTCCTAATTTCTTTCTTTCTCTAGGCCTCTCTCCAGAGCTTCAGACTCACATATCCAACTATGTATTTAAAACAATTTTTAAGCACAATCAGTACTGACCTCTAGACCTGTGCCCCAAATATGATGTTCATACAGTCTTCTTCAACTCAGTGAAGGCCATCTTCATCCACCCAGTGCACATTCTGTAATGAAGAGTTTGGTCTATTCTATCACCAAAATGTATTTTAAATGTTTCTTTTTCTCCATCTCCGCTGTTACCAATCTAGTTTAATTTTCTTTCATTGAAACTATTGTCAAGTCTCTAAATGGTTTTCTTTTCACTTTTGTCTTTCTAAGTTACAGTCTTCTTTGAAAGATGTACATTTCCAATAAAATGGTAATTATATGTGAGTGTAAGTGTAATTTTTCATACGTATATATTTAAGATGTATATACTGTGTATTTCATATATTTCTGTCTATAAATGTAAATATCTTTTATTTCATTTTGGTCACTCTTCCTTAAATAATATAAAAATTTTGTTAGAAGTGCTTGGTTAAATATATCTCATTTTCTGACACTTCGCTTCTATATTAAGATTAGAGAATAATTTTTAGAAGATAGCATCAATGAATTATTGAACCAGATTAGTCCTACAATCATATTTTATGAGCTGGGATGGAAATTATTAGACAACTAGTCTACCAGACTATATAAAAAATGAGAAAACCCAGAGAAGTTAAGTGGCTTACTCAAGGAAACATAATCTATTAATAATAGAGTTGGGATGGGAATCAAGTATTCTGACTTTTAAGCCAATGTTTTTTCTTACAGTGACCTTAAAGGCCAGCATAGTTACTAGTTATCTAGTACTGACAGCCAAATTAAGACCAATCAAATTCAGAGAATTTATTTGGAGGTTAAATATGGTTTTCCAAGACACAGAATAAGTATCAGGTAGGCACTTTCAGATTGGTAGGCCTATCCTCTTAAATATAAATAATTAAGAAGGAAATATATAAATATATGTGTTTGTATGTATGTATATGCATACACGTATTTGCTGGAAAGGCATTTACATCTTTTAAATCTCTCCTACTATTATCACTTCCTTTTACAGAAGGAAAATTTAGCCTTATATAGACTAACTAAAACCAGATTGCCCATCTGTCTGAATTATGTTCTCTTTACTCCACTAATGAAAAGGAAGCTGAATAACATGTCAGACTTGAATGAAATAAAAAACAAAACAAAACAAAAAACCCTTTGTTCTTGCTTTTGTTCTTAATTTCTGATTTAGAAAAATTTTCCTCTCTAGTGCCATCTTTAACAAGCATTCAGATGACAAATCCTAGTAATTTGATGTCTATTTCACATAATTTCTTCAACAGGAGAAATGGGGATTTTCAAAAATTAATATTTTGGTTTATTTTTAAAGAAAGCTGTAATGGAAACTGAAACTTCAGGTAGTTTCCTATGTTTTGCATTGACAATTTTCTCTAAGTTTCCTGGTCTTACGACTCTTTGCTTCATTATTAAAACTGTGCCAATGCATAGGCCTTAGAAATTTTTTAATGCTCACATAAATTAAATGAAAAATCAGATAGTAAATTTGTATTAAAAGTATAAACACCACTATATGCGGTCTTTTTCTTTCTTTATATACTCTACAGTTCTTAGTTTTCTACAATGAAGATGTATTAGTTCTGTAATTAGTATAACTGGGAGAAATTTTTTTGTTTGTTTTTTTAAAACACCGGGTCTTGGTCTTGCTCTGTCCTCCAGGCTGGAGGCTGGTATGTAATTGTACAATAAGAGCTCACTGTAGCCTTGAACTCCTGAACTCAAGCTATCCTTCTATCTCAGCCTCCCAAAGTGCTGGGACTACAGGCATGCACCATCATACCTGGAATTATTTTTATTTATTTATTTATTTTTGTAGAGATGACGTCTTGTTATATTGGCCAGGCTGGTCTTGAACCCCTGGCCTTAACCTCCTACTTCAGCCTTCCAAAGTGCTGCGATTACAGGTGTGAGCCACCACATGTGGCGAGAAATTCCATAAACTACAATATGCATTGAGAAGGCAGATTTCAAAAATTCAATCTGTCCCTGCTAAGGACAAAAGTATTCAGTTTTTCTACAGAGAATTTGCTCTTATTCGCTTAAAAGGGAAGGTGCCTAGAGACTGGAAGGAGAGAGCTACTTTCATGGTAAAAACAAAACAAAGAAAAGGTTTTAAATGTTGAATTATTAAACCCCTAAATCCGTATCTTTATTCCCTCCTATATAAAAGTGACTAGTCTCTATTCATCACCTAAACATACTCTAAAAAGATAATTTGTAAGGTCACAATGATCAATGAACGTTTAGAAACTCAATGGACAGTAATAAAACCAATGGGATTATGAACTAGAATTGATCAATGCAAACACATGAAAACAAATACATTTCACTTCAGAGGTTTATTATACTGCTTTCTTGGAACTATAATTAATTAAAAAGATAATTTTTATGCAAATAAAATATTGATTGAAGAAATAATTACAGTTGGTGGGAAAACTGCCATGTTGACATTAGATATTCATATATAATTATAATTTTAAAAAATATTATTTTTCAGTGTTAGAAACTGAACTTAAACTAAGATTAGATAAGCACTTAAAATAAAGCTAGGCAAAATTTTAAAAGTCATAGAATGAGTAATTGAATAAATTAGCTAGTGAAATCAAATATATTCTCCTAGAAGGCCTGTAACACCTTGACTTATTCATTTATCACATATTTGCTGAGCACCTAATCTATGGGAGATAGAAAGAAGAATGAAACATTGTGTCTGCTTGTGATGCACACTGCCTAATGTGAGTACTATGAAAAATAGTCATATGTTTCTCTTCCTATCCCCCTCACTGGAAGGTGACCTCTTTGGGTTCTAGTACTGTTTTGTACATAGCAATTCCTAGAATCAGCATAGTCAATATATATATTTTCAAACTGAACAGCTGGCCAAAAATACATCTGGAAAAAAAAGGTTGATGTGTGTCATGTAAGAATTACAAATAAAATTCAAGGATTATTACAGGAGAGAAAGATTGCATAAGGTGAGAGCAGGGAGGGGAAATGTGCTTGGCTAGAGGATTAGCAGATATTTAAGAAGCTTAGCGGTATAATTTAGGATGTCTAACAAAGCCATTTACGTAATAGTCTTATCCCACTATATAAACACTAAAATCCTTTCAAGTCCTAATAAAATCTTCTAGCTCCTCCTTCCTCTCAAGCAGATTTTGGGGTGCATAATTCTGGTCTTGGAATAATCATGTGCCCTCTGAGAACACAGTAAAAAAGGAAAGGAGTCTTCCAGAAGCCACACAGGCCCAATTTTCCATAGTAAAATTAAGTGGCAATGTCATGGCCAATTCTCCATTTCTGCAGGGGAAGCCAAGTCTGCTCTTTGCTCACTGACATAATACAGCTTAGGGTCAGTCTTTGAATGTGAAGACACTGCCAAACTAGGTGGGAATTGCCAGGATTACACAAACCAGAGTTGCAAATGAGGGCTGTGTTGATATAAGGGAAAAGGCCACAGAAGCCACATCTTTCCTACTTCCTGCGTAATATCCTCTGCTCTGAAATTTTGAAGAAGTTTCTAAAGTTGCTCATAAGAGCATTTCTCTTTTTGGGTACACCTCCTAGCTGGCCAAAAAATGTGAACAATAGGAAATGTAAGAGCCAGTATGCAAATTAATCAACTTGTATTTAGTGTCTATTGGATTCTTAGCAAGAAGAGGAGCTATGGATGGAAAATTACACAGTAAAAAAACAACTATTAAATTTAGGATTTGTAATTTAATATACACAAGAAATGTCAAGCAAACCTGGAGTAAGAACCTGCCCGTATGTGTAGACGAATGATGGTTCTTCTTTGAAAATCTGCTTTGTGACTAGACATGTGAATTTGAGTGAGCCACTTCACCTCTCTGCACTTCAGCCCTTCTAGAATTGGATCAGAGGAATTCATTGTTCCTCCAATATCCTTGGGGACATTTGGCTAGATAAGCATCTCCTTTTGTTGCTTTACATAAAATCTTGAACCTTAAGAAAATATCAATGAAAAAGTGGGAATGAGCTACTGTTAATCATAGATTATCAGAGTCTGTAGAAATATTCTCTAGTCCAAGAGTTTACTTTATAAATGAGGAAACTGAGATGCAGAAATGTGAATTGAGTGGCCTAAGAGTACAGTCGGTGGTAGATCCAGGTCCCACGATCCAGTTCTCTTACTTCTGTTTCTGATTAGGCATTTCTTAGTCCTCCCAAATGTATAGCTTTATGTTCATCTGAAAGTCCTTTTAGTATTTATTGAGATTCATTCGTTTGTTTCCTACAGTTCTTTGATATTTAACTCGTCATTACAAATTCAGACAGCATGGGAAATAGCAAGGGCAAAGCTCAATAATTTGTTTTAGGAAACAGAAGTAATATTTAAATAGTACCTAATGGTCACCTCTTCCTCCTACCTAGAACAATTTAGATGTCTCTTAGACCAAAAAAAAAAAAAAAAAACTATAGTTGAAAAGAAACTGTTATAAAAACTTAGATGTTAATAGCATGTTAATAATAATGGGGAAGAGAGAGCTATAAATAAAGATATTAAAACTTTTGTATTCATACCTACATAAAGAAATGTGATTTACCAAAAGTAGTTATTTGTCACAAAATTACTATTACATTTTGGGAAGCAATAGTCAAATAAGTTGCATACGTTACCGTATAGTGTTACCAAATCATCTAGAATAAGAACTACAAATAGTAATTACAGTTGATTCATATCTATAATGCTACAATACCTGTCCATGTATGTGAATACCTTGGAAATTTGCCAGACCTTCTAAAACATGTCCTTTCTACAAACCTCTGTTTAGCAATATCTCAACAAGGAGAGGAAGGTAGTTGATGTGATTTTAATATCATAAGGGGGAGCTGGCACAGAGAGATACTTTTTTAAAAAAGGTTTTATTATATTTCATTCTATGGACCATAATCCAATTAATTAATTGATTCCTGTTGTCTCACACTCATGCTGTTTCCAAGTTCTCTTTTTTAGTAATGCTACAATGATGTACACTTCTCCCAGAAACGTGAAACAGCACCGATTTCTCCCCAAATCAGGAGATATGCTTTTTAACATTATACATTTTTTCCTATCTCAGGAAAAAATGCTACATTTTAGAGAAAATTTTTTATATAACCTATCCTTCTTTGAAGGAAATGCTTTATGCTCCTTTTATATCAGAAAACCACTACTCAATAAGGACAAACCTCTTTTTATATTATTTAGAAACACTTCCATGTGGCAGCTAAAAACAAATGTAATAAAGAACTA